TAATTTGTATACTGACAGATTCCAAATATTGACACACCTCAAATGGGAACATCTGTAGGTCCTCTGCAACATGTGAGGCAAAATGCACTTGTAAAGACACAGCTTGAGGTTGCCTTAAAATAGAAGCTGTTGATGATCTTTTATTTGTGTACTGACTTTGCAAATAAGTAACCTCTTTAGAAGCCCATAGAAGGCGTCTGTTCATGTCATGTATACAGTATTTTCTACAAACTTGTGTTCCTATGGAGAACTTGTAAGCTTACTTTTCCAGTGTCTGTGGTTGTACTAGAAGGATATATGGGGAGACTTTTTAAAAATGAAAAAAAAAAAGAAACATATCGCTCGTCTAAAACTTAGTCCTCTGTTCGTGGTTGTTGAATGTACACTATGTCTAAATTATGGTACAGTAGTCACCCAATCTCTCTGAGCCATTGGTACTTCAGCTGCACTCTGTAACTAACAACTTTATTTTATATCAGTAACTGTGTGTGTTGGAAGCATGATACTCATAAGCATGGGAACTTGGGGTGCTGGGAAGAGCATCTGCCCCTTCTGTTAGAGGCACCAGCTGCTTAGTTCTGATCTGCTGCAAGGGTGTAACAAGGTAAGTTTATGCAACAACCTGAAGACTTCAACTGGTTTTTATAGTCAAAACCTAATTGCATAGAGTGTAGTATGGTTTAAGGGTACCAGTTAGCTCTAGAAATGAGCTAGCCTGGGTATCCAAGGCAGTCTAGCTGCGGCATATAATTTAGTATGGTTTACTCCTCTGCAGTTTCCAATGTAGCCATGTCCTCAGAGTGCTGCCACTGAACTCGTAAGAGTCACCGTGGTATTTGTGACACCAAACTAAACCCTTCCTGATAGTTTTCTGAAAACATGAATGTTGAACTGATCATACCCGTTTTTTTAAATTATATTCTTTAATTGTTAAACTATGAAACTTGCAGCAAAACAAGTGTGGTCTGAGATAAACAATGTTAGATCTGTAAAGAGGTGCCAACACTTCATTATGTTTTGTTCATAACATATCCTGTAGCTATTGCTTCTGAGTCTTGTAACTGAAACACTTTCACATGGCATATGGTTTTAGTTTTCAAAGAGCTTTGTCCTATATCCTGTGTATTTTCCATTCACTTACGAAATTTGCTTGATCTTAAGAACTTGGCCCGATTCTGTCCTGGCACTTGTGAAACATTAAATTGTTGCTGTTTCAGACATTTGAAAGCTTCCTTAGTTTTGTGGAGAAGGACATACTTAGGTATAAATCTTCCCACAGCATCGTGCCCCAGAGTGTCTTTTATCTGCATCTACCTAGTGCCAACCAGCTCTTAACAAAAACTGTAACTTCACTGTGTAAGTTGTTCACAGACACAGCACAAAATCCCTTGCACTAATTTTCTTTTCAATGAGGCTTGGGAGTACCCACTTTTAAGATCATAGTGAGCTGAACGGAATATGGAACTTAAATTTTCAGGGGGAGTGGAGTTGTTTTTGTGGTGGCTTTATTTTACTGTCCTTTTCCCAGCCCCCAGTTCAAAATGGGAAATGTTTATGAAGGCACCTTGTATGCCTGACTGCTTGCTCTGTAACAAAAGGCTTACCTATAGCCACATCTTTCTGTGCCAGACTTAAACAGTACAAACTGGTTCACGTCCATTGTGAGTAATGACAAGAGATGAGGAAGTGGATTTCAGCAATACAATGTTTTGGTGACTGGGAGGTTCCCTGAGGTTTTATTACAAATGAATCCTGTGAAGAAGAGGGAAACAGGTCCCAGGCGTAGAGTTATGAATGACTGACTGAATTTTCATCTGGTGGTAGAGAAAAAAGCATTTCTGCTCATGCTTATGTTTTGAAAGGGGAGGAGGAGAAATTGAAACATTCAGAATAGAAAATTAATGATTACTCAGGCCATGACTCACTTAGGGAAATGTGTCCTTTTCCTGTTGTGTTGCCACTGGAGATACTTTAAGTGATGGGAATATAAGCTGTTTCAAGAACTTTAAAAACAGATACCTGTAGAAATGCTGAAACTTTTCAGGGAAAACACTGTTCTAAATCTTGGTTTCCTTTTCATACTAAACCATCAAGCTCAGTTACAGACTGTGTTATGAACAGCTTCAGAGAGCTGAAATGCCCTCTTGTGTCTGAGGGGAAGAAGGCTTTTGAATTCAAATAATATCGTGGTCTGCTTAATAGCTGAGCACGGAAAGACAGAAAGTGGCAAAGGCAAGTTCCTGTGAATTTGTAATATGGCTGTCTTTCCAGTTTCCTCCTAAAAACCAATAATGTGTTTTGAAAGAGTTGGCAAAGATGCAGCCTGGTAACACAGCCTGACTTTTTTCATGTTGGGGATATGTGCCCCTTCTTAAATTCTCACCGCTGTTGCCCACGCTCCTGCAGGAGCGGCATTTACCCACACAAGCTGCTGTCACGTCCGCACTCTCGCCTGCAGAGTGGTGAGTTTAAGACCTTCAGCTGTTGAGATCTTGGCACTGCTCTCACCAGGTGTTTCCAGCCCTTTCCAAGCTCACAGCAGATAATGTGGCAGACTATATAAAATCATCATCTTGCAGCCCGCCCTCTAAACCAGCAATTTAATACCCGCTTTCTTCAGCAATTTAAAACTTCACTTGAAGAAAAGGAAGCCTGGACTTGCTGCCAAAATGTGTGTTAAAAATGACCTTGAAGAATGGCCTGGAATGAGGGGGCTGTGTAACTGTTTTTTCTCCTGCTGTCAAGAGGGAATGTGTGTGGAACAGTTGCTTAGGAAAGTCTTTCTGAGAAATAAAATCGCCGATGATCCTAATTCTATTGAGATGATCGTCAGTGATGCTGCTCCTTTATATTACCATTCACAGCCTACAAATGAAAAGAAATCAAATCCCCTGAGAACTTAAACACTGTCCGGTAGTTACTATTTTGAAAGCCAGCACTTGTCGACAATTATCATTCGGTGTTATCTGAGAAGCGGTGCCGCCCATATATTTAGAAACTGTGGCAGCTGTTTGAAAATCTGGTAGTCATTTTTAATCACCAGTGGTTTGCAGACTAGAGTTTTGTTATACCTAATATAAAACCATGGCTTTTTCCTTTCTCCTGCCATCATTTGAGACTAACCTCAGTTTCTCCCTAATCTTTCCTGTCCCCAAACCTTGCTAGAAAAGAAGAAATTAAGAACTGGCAATAAATGGTTTTCCTCCTGCCCCGATTTTTTTGCAAAAGAAGTAAATTTTGAAGTCTCAGAAATGTAAAGGAGGTTGTCTTGTAGTTTCTTTGCATTATGGTTTGTACACAAACATATTAGGGTCTCGCTGTAGCAGTCACTGAGTAAAAAAAATTATGTCCTGCCCCTGTGCTCAAACTGCACTCTGGCTAGGCTTTCCTAACCAAAAAATCAAGTCTGTTGCAGGTCAGGATCCAGGAGCTAGAGCTACTTACTGCAGCAATAAGGAACGGAACTCCAAGAGAATCTCCTGAAGTCAGTGAACCAGTGGGTTGCTGAACACTGCTGGAAAAATAACCCTCCATTTGTTGTTCTCAGACAAAAATTGTGCTATTCACTACCACAGGATGGTCTGTGCAGTGACAGAGCTGAAAATCCAAAGCAGTTAATGCCCTGTCAGGTAAGAAAATGTAACATGTGAGGTACTCTCTAGAAAAAGGCAACCTTTATCATAACCAGGTTCTATGACATTATTTGAAAGCATTAGAAAGCTAGAAGTGTATAATGAAGTTGTGCCTAAAACCCACTCCAGGACAAAGTACAGCATAAGACTACAGTCTGGTTAAGATTACTTTTGTTTCATCTCAAAAAACCAACTTTTATTTTGCATAACTTGAAGTACAGCATTCAAATTAATCTTCAATGTGTATAGGGGCAACAGGATTAAAAATTGGTCTTTCCTTCTTTGATTGTATCTTACCATAAGTGACTTCAAAATCTTTCTTGGTACCATTCAAGCTTTCTAGATTTCCACTCTTTACATCATATCCTAGTGCAGAGAGCTTTTTAATTCGGTACTGAACAATTTGTGTTGTCAACTCCAGCACCATTGGTGTCTCTCTAATCTGTGCTACAGAAATTCCTTCCTTCAGTAGTCCTTCAAGTCTTTCTTCCAAAACTGGAACAGAATAGTAGAGGAGGGCTGGGCATTTCAGCACTAGTTCTTTTAGTTCTTGATCACTGCAATTAAAGACATTTTTGGAAAAAAGCATACTCTTCTGCATAGTAGTAGAATTAAGTTGAAAAATGAAGCCTTTCAGTTTAGACAGCAGCTGTAGAACTTCATGGTCAGTGAAGTCATTCTTCTGGAGAAATTCCAAGTTCTCCTGGATTGTGGTGGAGGTATTTAATAAAATAAATGGATTTTGGCTCAATAGTTTCAGTATCCAGATCTTCATATTTGCTTCAGAACCTCCTAAATTTAAATAACTTCTTTGTAATGTCTCTATCACGTTTTTGTTTTTCTCAACAGGATTATAAAAAATATTGGGTGCGCTTGTCAAGAACCTGGTGATTATATTATTCTTAAGTCCCAGCTCTTGAAAAAATGTTATGTTTGCCTTCTGATTCTGGTGATATTTGGTAGTAAAAAAAGACTCTGGAAATTGCTCTATTAATTTAATCAACTGTTTTTCATTCTGGCATACTAATTGCCACAGAGCTCTTTGAGAGTTTATCTCTTCAGGAGTGCGGAGAATTGCCTCTGGGCAGCGTTCTAAAATGTTGGCCACAGCGGTTTCATCTGCTCCCATTTCTTGCAAGATACCAGCAATTTCTTTAACATAGGCCACATCCTGGAGAAGGACCCATTCCTTCAGTCTGCGTATCTTCTTAATGTCAACTGACAAACTGTAGAGACTCTCAATGGTTTTTTTATTTTCCTCTCTTGCCTTTGTATCGGTTGTGTAACTGGAATGTATTAGGAAGCTCCTGCTTGCTACTTCAGGCCATACTGATGAAAATATCAAGCCTGGGTTGCAGTGCTGAGATCTTGTCGACAGAAGAGCGAATGTGTCTTTTGCAGCATGAGCGACTCCTCTTAACATTGTGGAAGTCAGCCCTGTGGAGACAGAACAACGGTAAGAAAACACATTTAAAGAATTAGTTAATGCTCAGAATCGTTGATGTTTAGACAGGGCTGGCATAAGAAATTACTCTCACCCATGCTTTTGTTACTAGCACAAAATCCAGCTTTCACACGAAAGCGAGGGAGGGGAATATTTTTGAAAGGTTAATGTTCTGACGAATGTGTCACTGGAACAGTGTCTGCAACAGGCCTGATGCAGGGGCAGTGCTCTGTCCATATAAAAGCTTGCAGTCATACGAGATCCAAACTGTCAGCCATTTTCTGCAGCTAACATCGTTATTACATTACAGATCGCTCACACCATAAGGGAAAAATGATTCACCCAATTTCATTTGACAGTCATCCCACTAAACTAATAAAAAAAGGCAGCTTAAATATCTTTCTTAACTCTTATGAAGGTATTTGCTTGAACTTCTCAAGCATCATTTAGAGTGTGACTTGTTCCTTCCTGTGTCAGAGACACCCCCTGCTCGGTGCTGCTTCAGCAGCAGTTCGCAGCCTAACTTCATTTTGAAATCATCGTTATTAAGGAAAAAAAAAAATCACAGAAACCTTTATGTATGTGTTTTTCACTCGCCAAGTCTGCTAATTGAGTTCTGAATAAGCACACTGGTATTTTGGGTGAGGGAGCAAGTACACCGTAACATTTCCAGGCGTTCGCTTGCCTCTCCCAGCACCTACTTTTCTACAGCTGCTCTTTGCACCAACGCCTTATTTCTGCCTCCAGGTCACTTTTGTTGATGCCAGCCACCCCCAGTAGGCAGAGTCCTTGTGGAATAGGTACGTGGTGGTATTGGAGTCCACATGGCAACCACAGGTAGTTGTGGGCAACCCCACACCTCACCTTTGCTCAAACTGGCTGCTAGGTATCACCAACAGCATATGCGCTGTCACCTGCTCTGCAGTGGCCAAAGGAGCCGCAGCAGTCAGACAGAGATATTAAGTGTATCTTTAACTTCCTACGTGGTGTTTTCATAAGAAACCTTTGGAAGCACTGAGTCTGAAAGGGAGAAGTGCTGATCTGTGAAATACTCAGCAAATGGTTGCTGCTGGGAACATGCTCAAATTGAAAATAAGAAAAGAAATACAGTTTTGCATTTGACAGTTCTAAGTATAGCATGCTTCAAAAAGTACCTACATTAGCATTCTGTTAAATTACTTTGGTTGTTTTGGTTTTTTTCAGAAGAGAAATTACTGTTATGATAATGCAGTCTAATCAACAGAACAGACTGAGAAACCTGTTGGAACAGTTATACAAGATTCCTAGAATCTATAATCTGTCTTCTAAGAAAATACCTGGTTTGTTTAGAGAATTTGATAGATCCTCTATCTAGTTGCCAGGTAAGACTAAATATTTTCTAGAGGTAAAACACTCTATCTCAAGGAAGTGTACCTTTGCTTTTAGGTTGCTTTTTTATGCTTCTAAAAGCTGGACTCATGTCACTACATAAACTAACAGAATAATTTCCTATATGGAGGCTTATGTTATTAACAGAAGCTGTTTACTGGTAACTTCTTGTTTAGTATTACTTCAAATCTCTGAGGCAAAATCCATTTGCCTAATGAAGCTGCTTGTGTCGTAACCCCAAGGCTGCTTATTTTGTCTTCATAAACTTTGTAACTTGAGAAGTGCTGTCCAGCAAGCACCACTACAGAACAACCAATTTTTCCTGACAGCCCTGAAAGCACTGGAAGTGTAGGTAAGTCACAGTCATTTTGTGTGCTGACCTTTCCATGTCCTGAAAAAGTGACTTTTTCAGGGGAATGCAAACTAAAGCCTCTCCTCCACAGGCAGGAGACAAAACTGCCTGTGTCTGAGCACAGAATTTAGGGAGTCCAGTCAAAGTAAGTAAATCTCTGAAGGATCAGGGCTCTCTTCATTAATGCTTCAGCCCAGCTGGAAACTGCCAGCAAGTATTGTTAAAATTGTATGGCATGTCAGATGATACAGTACAAACTGGAAAAATAACCATGACTTGCTTTTACTTCAATAAGTAAAATAAGTAATCCTGCTCTTAAACAAAATTGCCTTGTGAGTAATGCAGCCATTTAAAATACAGTAATTTTTACTATTACAGAGCTTTTAAAAAACTGATAAATTGTGCCCTTCCACAATCTAACATGGAAATGATTGTTATGCTCACTTAAAAAAGGTTCTACGTTTTCTGAAAATTTCTGACATCAGTCATTTTTTTTCCCTGTTGTGAGGATCATCAGAAACAGAATACTGTAAAAGGAAGAAAAACTTTATTTGCTAAATAATTGCATTTGACTGGGGTACTCAGGAGCCCATGTAATTAAGCACTATGCAAAATACAACATACAAAAAAAATGATGTTTATAGAAACCGAGGTGATGATTAAGAATTATGATTTAGTGTATTTCCAAGTCTATAGGTGGCAGTATCACATTTCTGGGGCATGTAACCAATTTCAAGAATTCAGAGTTCTTTTAAAGCTCATGCTGGATTTAATGCATGCTCTAACGTGCAGGACCCCACTGTAACTTTTTACATACTTATGTTGCTGGGGGGGTTGTAAATCAATTGAGAGGTTAAGAAAAAAAAAAAGCCAGCTCAAATGAGATGTTTGTCCTCACTGCCAGCAGCACCCTCCTATCACCAAGTGTTAGAACAGCAATAAGAAAATGAACTAATGTCTATCTGAAAGTACCTGTGATCCTGCTTGCTAGAGACCTGTATATACAGAGTAAAGGGGTGCTATAAGTTTCATTATTTAATTTTATCTCATTTAATCGCATTATTTATGAGATCTTCTAAAGCAAATGGATATGAGGATCAACTGGCTGATTCATCCCTCATTTAAATTTCTGAATGTGTGTTTAAAGACTCAAGTCTCATGTTTGAAAATTAGCAACCTCTTACGTTATATTTTTCGACTGCTACTTTGTGCTGGTCACTACCATTCCCATTGCCTCACCACAGCAAACTTAGTAGGCTCTGGAAATTAAATGAAACTACAGAAAGCCTAGATTGAACTTTGAATTAACCAGGAGAGTAGGTATCTACGTAGAAGAAAGCAGTGTACACAGGATTTGAATGGTCTGTGAAGAAATCTAGGAGGGAGATATGTAGTGGTTTTGTAGATTAATGCACAATAGAGTAAATGTTCATACTTCTGCACTTACAGGCAAAAAACTGAATCCCTGCTTTGCATCAGTAGTGGAAATGAGGCAAAGAAGGATTACAAGATATGCTAGACCAACATAAAGCTTTCTAGAAAAAAATACAGAGGATTCTAGAATAATCCAGTGTGGAAGGGACCTCATGTGCTCAAAGCAGTGCTATGAAATAAGACCAGGCTGATTTGTCCATGGATGGAGCCCACCCGGCCTCTCTGGGTTACCTGTTCTACTGCTCAACTGTCCTCATAGGGAAGAAGCTTTTCCCTGTATCTAGGAAAAACATTTGCAAAGTGCTTAAGGACGCACCGCACTATTTAAACCAATGGTCCTCAAGTGGTGCTTTTAGTACAGAGAAAACAAGGTTCTCCATCACACCCCGCTCCCAAAGCCCGGCCAGCTGGAGTCTCACCCTTTGGACTCCGCTTGGGGGCGGAGCGGCAGGAGGCGGATGCTTTCCTGTAACCAGCACGGGCGCAGAGGCTGGAAGGCCCGGCAGGCCTCTGCCCGTCCGCGCTACCGCAGCCGGTTATCCCGCTCCTGCCGGAGCCTCCCGGGGCCGACAAGGAGGCCCCGCGCCCAGGGGGCCCTCGGAACCGCGCGGCCTCTCCCGCCGCATCCCGCCCCCTCCATCCTCACGGGTGCCCGGAGCACGGCAGGGCCAGCGCGGCGCCCGCCGGCCCCGCAGCGGCGGTGCCCCTGCCCCGCGCCCGCAGAGCGGCCCGGCCCCCGCCCGGCCCCCGCCCGCGCTCACCGGCCTCGCCGCCGCCCGGGCCCCGCCGCCGCTGCCGCCCGGGGGTGGGACGGGGATGTGCCCTGGGCGGGAGGCGGTGACCGGGATTGCAGGCGGCAGGACGTGCCGTCCCACGGCACTCGGAACGCACGGCGTCAGTCTGGTGCGAAATCACACGGGGTTCCATCGCTTGTTAGAGCAGGGTTTGATGGGACTAGAAGAAGGTACAGGGGGTTGGATTAAAACAGCTTTCAGAGAGAATTAGAGTGGTAAATAGAAAAAAAAAAACTTTGAAAGTCTTCTGAAGTGGCAAAGAGTCAAACATTTTAAAGTTAGGCTACTTGTGTGCCTGTATTCTGATGGGAAGCAAATTATTAAGAAATTCTTTACAGAGAGGGTAATCAGGCATTGGAATGGGCTACCCAGGGAAGTGGTGGATTCTCCATCCCTGGAGGTTTTTAAGATGAGACTGGATGTGGCACTTAGTGCCATGGTCTGGTAACTGCGGTAGTAGTGGATCAAGGGTTGGACTTGATGATCTCAGAGGTCTTTTCCAACTCAGCTGATTTCTATGATTCTATGCTCCTTTCGATTTGGTAACACTGAATGACAATAGGTGGTTTGTCTTACATCATCATATTTTTTTCCATATGATCGCTGCCTTATTACAGATTAAAAGAATAAAATTCACGTACCTAGCTGTTGGGTCTATAGTGTTTTGGCTGGTGGCATTTCAGAACTGTGAAACACAGCTTTGAGCTGTGATGATGAGAACCACCTTCCTCTACCTTATTTTTTTCAGCTATATCTACTTGATTTCTCTTCCAGAATAACAACTCTACAGTCACATAAATGGTTTCTGCACTAGAAAGATTATACTACGGGCATTTGGAATTTTTGAACTAACTCTGGGTCTGCACAATCACATCCTTCAGAGAGTGAAAATCTCTCCTGTTCCCTCTGGGAACACTTCTTTTGTCAGCGACATGTTCAGTAATCTGTATTGCATCTGAGAAAAAGATCAGTTAAAGAACTGCTACTGAAAGAAACCGTGATGTAGGAACCCAGTTCAGGCTTTGTCTCCTGCATAACAGCTGTTTCAAGAACAGTTAACAATGTAAATATAATTGCATAAAATGATGTTAAAAACAAGCATCTAAAAAATGCTTCCAATTTGTAATACACAATGTATTGGATATTTGATTTTTTATGTTTTTGTTGCTTCATGTCTTCATGTTATCCTATTCCCCTTCTAATTGCTCCCCACTCTCTTGATTTTTGCAATCACTGTCTGGGCTAAATTAGCTAAATTAGCAATTGTTAAAAAATTAGTTATTCACAAGAGAACACAGTAGTGAGGTTTACTTTTATGAGTTCCTTGATTAACTGTGATTCTATTTTCTTTTCCAACTAACTTGGAGAGACTCTTCCCTTGAGATTAGACATTTTAATTAATACATTCTTCACCTTCCTTCCACTTCTAAATCAAGAACAAACTGTCTAGCATAGAAGGTATGGCTAGAGCCAAATAGTGTTTTGACATAATGATATGCTAATTATATACTACAGTTGTTATTTAGCCTGTAGCAACAAACAGCTTACAGAGTGATGGTTTTCATGGTTGCAATTTGCTTATGAAGCCATAAGGTCTACTGAGGAAGGGCTGCTTCCACCTCAGTATTCCCTCAAAGGCGGATTGATTGATGCTGGACTTTATTCAGGGCCATCTTCAGTGTGGCAGCCTTGTGGGAGGCTAGCAGGGAACATAAAGAGTACGAATGAGCAGTTTAAAAGTTGAAATAAAAACTATATTGTGAGGTGACTTTCCTTGAAAATAAGGACTCTACTTCTTCATTGTGCTCAAAAATTACAGAATTCAAATGAGTTTGATAGACGGTGGTCATTAACAACCAAATTTTCTTTTTCTATTTTATTTCTTTGACAATTATATATCCAGTGTTTGGCATTTCTTAAGGATAAAAATTAAACAAAAAGCAAGCATGTAACAATGTAATTTTTATTAGTTGAGAAAAGAATGTTCCACTTTACAATGCCCCAAACTGCTCCAACTTTTGAGTTGCAGGAAGGGTGTATATGACGAGATCCCATATATTCTTCTTGGACCAGAATGATGAGCTGTGGAATATGATGTTCTACATATAACAAAGTAATAATTGAAAAACTCATGATATTTTATGCTATTGTTAAAGTCAGTGCTTAAGAACTGTTCAGCCTCCGTACTTTTTAGAAAGAAATTTTGTGTAAGACCAAATAGAAAGGGATTCTAATCATGCCTGGGTCCTTTGCTGCTATCATACCTTGATCATTGATGACATTTTCAACCTGCTGAAAGGAGCTTGTAGCCAGGTGGGGATCAGCCTCTTCTCCCAGCAACTAGTGACAGAGCCTCCAACTGCACCAGGGGAGGTTCAGGTTGGACATCAGGGAGAATTTCTTCATAGAAAGAATTGTTAAACATTGGAATGGACTGGCCAGGGCGGTGCTGGACTCACCATCCCTGGAGGTATTCAAGAAATGACTGGACATGACACTTAGTCCTATGGTCTAGTTGACAAGGAGATCGGTCAAAGATTGGACTTGATCTTAGAGGTCTTTTCCAAGCTAAATGATTCTGTGATTCTGTTACGCTGTTTATTAAGTCATTCAAAGTGAGGAAAGAAAAGTGTGAAGGGACTTTGTTGACTTGACATATATTTTCTGTGTATCTTAGCAGAAAAAATATTTTAGGAGAAAGAAAAACTACAGTTCTTAAAGTACTGCCCTGGTCTGGTTCTTCTGGAGGGCAAGAAAAGTCGGTACTGCTGATGAGAGTCTTTTCCGTGAGACATTATTTCTAATGACAACACTTGCTGTTAGTACCCACTTGTCCGTGAACACCCTGGAAGCTGTAGATTTGAGTTGCAATCCACAGCTGTCCTGTAAAGACTCGCAATGGCTCTACTGAGTCCTATCAGTGCGATGCCTCCATCAGCTGCTGGCCGTGCCCCGAGTAACCCCGGAGCAGGTACAGGGAAACCTGCTGTGTAGGCAGCACACAGACCGTGTTTTGAGCTCTGTAATTAAAAGACGTGAGATATTCACCATTTACTGATAATGAGTTTAGATACAGCGCTGGAGAGACAACTCATTCTGCTGCTTTCAAGTGTGTTTGGTTGTGGCAGCACCGCACGGCCGAGCCGCTCTCTCTTGCCCGGGGGTTCCTGTCCAGCACTTTTGCCCAGCCCCTCGCGGCTGCAGCAGGCACCGAGACCTCGGCCTGTTTCACAGAATCACGGAACTGGAAGGACCCTCTGGAGATCCTCCAGTCCAACATCTTCTCCCTACGCACACGCTTATATAAGCGCCCCGCCTGTTTCCCGCGGGATGGGACGGGACGGGACGTGGTGCGCTGGGATCGGCGGGCACCGCCCGGGGCTGTGAGCGGGGCCGCGCCGCCGCCGCGGGCGCGCGCGGGGCGCTATACATAACAGGCCGGCGGGCGCGCGCACGCGTGCGCGTCCCGGCAGGAACCGGCGCCACCAAGAGCCGCCTCGCGGCCCCGTGCTCATCCGGGTCCCGCCGCCCCGACCCGCGCGGGGGGGCCAGCCCGCGGTCTCCGCCCTCCCACCGCGGCCCGCCGGCCCTGCGCCGCCCCGACGGGTGGGATTCCCGCCGGGATCGCGGGCTCTGCGGGCCGCCTCCCGAGCCGGCGCGGGCGCGGGCCGCCCGGTCCAGCCGTTCGACCCCCCGGGGCCGGCGTTACCGAACACACCTCAGAAACGTGAGGGCCGGCAGTCACGTGGGAGCGCCGTCGGCCAATGGGCGGCGGGGGGCGGGGCGGAGCGGCCGGCGCAGCCCCGCGCCCGGCGCAGTCACAGGGCGAGCGGCGAGGAGGCGGTGGCCGCATCGGCACGGACGGCGCTTTCCTTGGGCACGGCGCGCTCGCCGCCCCGCAGCCACCGCCGGACACAGCGCTCCCTCCCTCCCTTCGGCCCCGCTCTCCCCGGCGCGGGGGCCCCGCGGGGTGATGCGTCCCCGCTGGGTGGCCGCTCCCGCCGTGTCCGCCGGGTCCTAGAACCGCCCGCAGCGAGGCCCCGCGGGCCGCCCGTCCGCCCGTCCGTGCTCGCCCGGCGGCGCCGGGCCATGAACGGCCCCGCGGGCGGCGGCGGTTCCCGCTGAGCGCCCGCGCCCGGCATGGGTGTGAACGCCGTACACTGGTTCCGCAAGGGGCTGCGGCTCCACGACAACCCGGCGCTGCGGGAATGCATCCAGGGCGCCGACACGGTGCGCTGCGTCTACATCCTGGACCCCTGGTTCGCCGGCTCCTCCAACGTGGGCATCAACAGGTGGCGGTGAGTGCGGGGCGCGGCGGGGCCCTAATCCCCGCGTTATGTATGCGGTCACGCTGCCTCCCCACCATCCCCTCCCCTCCGCGGCCGATTGGGCCGCCGCCAGCGCCGGCTTCCCCTGCCCGCGCGCCCTCCCCGCGGCACCGCCGCTGTTACGTATCCGGCCCTGCGCCCGCCCGGACCGCGGCGCCCGGCCAGGGAGCGGCGAGAAGGAGCCGGGCGGTGCGGGGCCGGAGGGCTGCAGTTGCCCGGGAAGGGGGTCCTTGTTCCCGGTCCCTCGCCCGCTGCTCCCGTGGGGAGCAGCCCGGAGGCCTTGCGCT